GCTGTGAACTCAGCCGTCAATAAGAATGTCTTCCATCAGAATCTCAGACTCACCGCTTGGTTAGAGATGGCACCTATGGGGCTATTACGCACGAGCGATACCAAGGCGAACAGCAAGAAAGCGCTGTATAGTGCGCCAGATTCAATGACAAATGTGATGAAACGCTTGAACACGCTGGCTTGGCGGATCTCACTGCTGTACCGCTTGATTCTCCCGCTCACAACGCACACGCGAACTGTGATGAGCACTGATTGTCACAGTACGTTATCGCGATTATGGAGTGAAAATATGAGTGTTAAAGTGTTCAAAAAATAAATATCGTCCCCGGTAATAATTTTTCGCTCCCCCGGTAATAATATACATACTTTTGTGACATTCCAGTACATTACGCCCCCCGTAAATAACATAGAAATCCCCCGGTAATAACCAAAAAATCCCCCCGGTAATAACACTTTCGACGAAACACCCCGGTAATAATCGGCTATTTCGGCAAAGTATGTTCCCACGCACGTGGCCTATGTCGAACACATCTTAAATGCATCCTCAGTGCTCAGGCGAGATGATCTAAGCTCAAATAAGTGTAGGATCTGATCCAGGATGTATCTAAGTACTTGAATGTGCAATACTTAGGAGTCCATGACATGTAGAGTATGAAACCTAGCCACGTACTTATGTGTGACTTGCCGAAAGGGACTTTCCCACGCATGAACTTTTCAGTGTCGTTCAGAAAGCCAGCGCACCTCTTTAATGTGAATCATTGCTAAGAGTATTACATTGGGAATAGTCATTGTTGAGTACACTGGGTACTCTATGGAATTGAACGTCGTGATGGAGTGCTATACTCACAGATGGTAGTCATTCTGTGTACGAGTGAAGGTGAAATGACGTCAATTAAGCGCCGAACAAGCGCCGACCTTTCCTCACAAATGCGAAGATTTTTAGGTTGCATCCATGGGATATAAAATGTTAGTGCACAATTGATCAAGCTATCAGAGTTGTCTATGGGATCATTGGTAGTATGTATGTACCAAATGACATGACACGTAGTCAGAAAGAGCTGAATCAATGAAACTAGTGACTTACAACTTAGATGGTCAAGGTCAGTTGTATGAAGCCGATTCCCACCCAAGTTAGTTCATCATATATACAAAATACAGAGTAAAGGCTCGATCTATCCCCATAGGCAGTATATCTATTGCTCAGATTGGCCAAAGTTTGACTATGTGGACTAATTGATAACTGGTTACTCTATTGGTCGTACGAATGATAATCATGTACACCCTCAGCTTCTTGAAGTGTGAGTATCATGAACGTCAAGAAGCACTTACCTGAGGAAGTTCTCATGAGTTATACATCATTGCTGCCCCTCATTGAATTACATTGTGCAAGAATTGATTGATATCTGGCTAAGTATTTTCCCATGGAATTATGATATCAAGGTGTTTACTGACAGTTGAATAATGGCAATCTCTGTACAGGAAGGTACTTCCCATATTCTTGCAAGTTCGGCGAGAGGCATTTTGGAGCCTTACCATATCGGGCAGCTCTTCCAAGTCGCATATGACCAATGAGCCAGCTCTCTGAACAAAGCTGAGGACCTTGTACGTATGTGGGAAATTCCCTTTCAGAAGTCATTCCATAAATACTCTAAACTAAGCTATACACTGTTCATACCTTGCTGAATCATATCTAAATGGCAGGGCAGCTATCCGAGTGCAGCTAAAGATGTGCAGATCGCGTGGGAATAGCCCCTATCGGAATGCAGAGCAGGTGTTCATTACGATTGATAAAGCGCCAACTTCAATCCCATACTCATCATACTCAATAATGACTAGTACCAATTTAATACTCTCAGCAGTGAAATACATTCAGGAGGTGAGCTGGCTTTCCGAACGACACTGAACACCTTGAGGCTGAAAGTAAAGTACGTGGCTATGGTCCATGTTCTACACATAAGGGACTACTAAATATTGCATATTCAAGTACTTAAGTGTATCCTAGATAAAATTATATACTCAATCGAGTTTAGATCATCTCGCCTGAGCACTGAGGATGCATTTAAGATGTGTTCGACATAGGCCACGTGCGTGGGAACATACTTTGCCGAAATAGCCGATTATTACCGGGGTGTTTCGTCGAAAGTGTTATTACCGGGGGGATTTTTTGGTTATTACCGGGGGATTTCTATGTTATTTACGGGGGGCGTAATGTACTGGAATGTCACAAAAGTATGTATATTATTACCGGGGGAGCGAAAAATTATTACCGGGGACGATATTTATTTTTTGAACACTTTAACACTCATATGAAAAGGACTCGAACTTACCAGTAAACCCAATGCTCGAAGCCAGAGACATAACGAGGAGTGCAATACTATTAATCCATATTTCATGGGGAATAGAGGCTTCAGCATTTTTCGTTCCTGTTACACAACGAACGGTGGAGTAAACTGCGAGAGCTATTGTTGAAATGAGAAGAAATGCGAAGGGGTAAGTGACACGTTTGTTGCCCTCCCAAACGATGTGAAGCCGATATACCTGACCCATATAAGCATAGGTTCATCGGGATACAAAAGGCTTACCCAGGATGCATCCCCAAGAATGATCTGGATCCCCGAAATGACTTGTTGAAGTAGAACTATGGTGATATTAAGCTCTCCGAAAATACCTCTCCCACTGCTGAGTCCTCGGAATATCTGATAGACGTTACAGATAACGTGCTATGTCATTCAACTCAGTACCAAAAGACAAAAAGTAACAAGGAAATACTTACTACCGAGGCGAGACAGAACATCATTAGCCCTATCACATGGATACAAATAATCTGAGATGTAATTGTCTTTCTAAAAGTTGCCACCAAGGTAATGATCATAAGCACTAGAAATCCACCTAATGGCCCATGTCAATACACGATACTTGCTCGATAGCAAAGCTGAACCTACCGTAAAGCATACACTCGATCAAGGCGGATAACACATAGAGCTTCACAGCTTGTAAGATGTCCGAGTCAGTCATGGTAATGTATAATACACAAATTTTTGGCCTTTGACTTATAAGTCGGAGCCATAGACGTGCAACGATGTCCCCGTGCTGATAATAATGATGATACTTGAAAGACACTGGATTCAATAGATCGATTATTGCGAGAAATCACAATGTAGCCCATGGGCAAGAACAAAAATTGATCGTGGGATAATACAATATAAATAATATTAATTGAGCTGTATCTGTTTCCATATGATATATATATGGAGTTTATGCCGTACAAAATGAAACTGCTGTAATGAAACGATCACGAGTGTCCAGTAACACAGTTTTGCAGTCAAGAGTTCCCGACATTAATGGATACAGAAGATGGACCTGGGAGTACGAATGATGAATTAAATCGTACACGTTCCCTGGTGACTGTAATTGTTATATGTCAAGCCTCGACGAAGACTTGCTGAGGGTGAAGGTAAGTCCACGATTCGAAAGCCCATTTTGTCCGAAGAGGGCATGCCACGAAACAGTGGTCGCAGAGGTGGTTCGTCTATCATCAAGATAAACTTCCCAAAAATGGCAAGCATCTTAAGGGGAACCCTAGAGTATTGACGGCGGTTGGTTGCAGAGAAATGACGGGATTTTTGTGGGGTGTGAACTGAGAAATATCAGGAGAAGTTGTTGTGGGCATCCAGGTGAGTGTCACCAAGAGTATTGATGGCATCCAGGGCGCCAAGGGGAGTTTAAAAGAGTCGAAAGCACGCCAGTGCTCCGCGCCACCTTCAATGTCCCGGCATCCCCCAATGCTCATTGACCGATACACCGACCGTACTGCCAAATGCGATGAAGGAAACAGTGTTTCGCGTTTGGTTGAAACACACCACACGCATGATGCGGCGAAGTTTAAATGAAATCGAGGATGGAGACGTTTCAATAGAGTTACCTTGATTCGATTCGATTCAAGTTTGCAATGTTGGCATGAACGAAATAGGGGGCCTTTGTTTGATGTTGCACGGTTGTGTCGCACAAACTCCGGTGCATTGACTCTTCAGTGTTCACCCAGCGGCTCAAGTATGGGCGCCAATCCAAAATATGAAGATTGGGCTAGAATGTCCCGGGAGGGAGTCGAGCCCTCGGCTTCTCGGAGCTACATTCTTACCACAACGAGATCATTTGACCACTAATCGACCAGGACGTGGTCGTTAGTGCGGAAACAAACATCAGGATGGTGGGACCTTGTGAATTTCCGGGTGAAGGAAAGAAACGACTCAGACTGGAACTGGAAGGTTTATTGGAACGTACAACGAGGCGATTGGGGCTCATGGGTTGAGATGATGTACTCTTTGGAACAGCCGACATTGGGATTTGCCTATGTGACGATCGAGAAGAGGAGTTGTGCCTGTAGGAGTCTGTGGGCTTAAAAAAATAAATTTCAGAGTATGAAGATTTGAGTAGGCGAGTAGGAGTGTTGTATTCGCTGCGTATGTCCTGAGTGGTCGAGGCAGTAGGGGCATTGGAATGTCCGACGACGCCTAGTAAGTACCCAGGTGAGCTCTGTTCGCATACCGGAATTATTCGAGCGATTATAGTCGACTTTTTCACTTGACAACCTTTGTAGGACTTACCGTGGATGAGGAACAAGCACTGAGGAACGACTAATGATAGAATTGAAAGACGAAGGAGAGATACTTGTCACATCATGGCATAGCACCGCCGCGTGTTTCTTTACTTACAGCCATTTATCTCTATTCATCCAATCCATTTGTACCTGCACAACCCAGATCGATTCCTCAAAGCCTTGTCTGGATAGAAACACTGGGTAGACACCGATGACCATTGAACATGATTCTTTACCTGGTGACAGTTCAGCAAGGGAAAGACCGAACTGACCTCAAAATTGACGTATAAAACAGCAGCAAATATGCTATATATTCTTCCTACTGGATAGCGCTCATGTCCACGATCGTACACTTTCCCAAGCCGTCAAGATGTCAAACAAAAAACGCTTTTCAACAACTGAAATGTCCCGGGAGGGAGTCGAGCCCTCGGCTTCTCGGAGCGTTTCTACATATTCCTGACCACCACAACGAGATGATTTGACCACTAATCGACCAGGACGTGGTCGTTGGTGCGGGATCAAAACATCCAATGTTGGTAAGTCAATGTGAATCTCCAGGTCAAGGACCATTTGTTACGTGGTTGGATGGTTGGTTCGACGATCCAGCAAAAGTTGTCGTTCATGGCCGTCGGGGTTGAGAAGCAGGAATGATTCGCTTTCCTTCCTGACCATGGGAATTTGGACGTGTGACTATTACGATTCTACGATCCGTGGTTTATCTTACGGGGTACAGCCATGTTTCAGGGAATAGGCGAGTTGGAATGTATCTTGAGGCAAAAGCAAGTGGAGATCTGTGTGTATGCCACAACTATCCAAAACGATCCTTTCCAGGGGACGAGGGGAATCAAACTTCCCTACTGCTACTACAATCCAATTGGTGGATGTTTTGGCAGTATCCTATAGAGAGTTTTGTGAATGTGGAAATCATAGAAAAAGGCCAGTCTCACGCTCGCATTGTCCCGGGAGGGAGTCGAGCCCTCGGCTTCTCGGAGCGTGACCGAGAGAGCCGCCTATTACACCACAACGACATGATTTAACCACTAATCGACCAGGACGTGGTCTCTTCTGGGGAATCAAAGTTTTGTATGGTGAGTGATTGTGAATTTCGAGATCGTGGTTTGTTTGGTGATTATCTTGGTTTCATAGGTTCAGTATATGACGTACTCTTCAGTTGTAGCCTTCAATGAAAGACCGTTATCCGTCTGGAGTTGGGGTGATCGTGTTCCAGGATATCTAGGGAGATTGAGGCGAAATGAGGTAAATGACCGAGTATGCTGCAACTGTTCGCTTAAGAAGCTCTGGTGGACTTACCATGGATCGGGGGACAAGCGCTGAGTATTAGAGCGGCTAATGCTGAATGTGAAAGAAGAGGAGAGGTGTGTGACTTGTCACCGCAGAGAAAAACCATCTCAGCGGTTCCGGGCCGATTTTATACCAGTGGATGAAACGCGATAGGCATCAACGACCGTCGAACACCAGGTCATACCTACAGGAAGTTATTCCTATTAGTCAAACCGGTACTAGGTAACGCGTGGACTTGTACTAGTCAAATTCAAGAGAAAATGAATGACCTCCGAGCCGTTGAGATGTAGAGTAGTAAAAATCGGTCAGCGGAAAGCTACATTATCCCGGGAGGGAGTCGAGCCCTCGGCTTCTCGGAGAATTATCAACGAGAAGAGACCACAACGAGATGATTTAACCACTAATCGACCAGGACGTGGTCGTTAGTGTGAATGCGGCGTGAACGTAACAGAGGCGATTGGACTGCAGCCGGAGTTTGTGAGCCGAGAAACAGGTCAAGGCAGGAAGAAACCAGTGAGTGTGTCGTTTACACTTGAAGGTAAAATCGTATTTTGGATATCGAAGACGTGCCAGTGGTTGGAGGCATAGGTCTGTCGCAGATGGAAGACGGTGAAGAGAGCAGTGACATGACAGTCACCTGTTGATGTTAACACAAACGCATGACGTAGGCATTCGTCTGTTAGTTTTCCTAGTGCGGAATCGAACATGTTTATGCCGGTGAGTGATGATGAATTTCTGGCACGAGAAATACTCATCACGCTGCAAAGAAACGACTCAGACTTGTGGTTTGTTCGGTGGTGAAACGCTCGGTAAGTGTTGGCGTTCATGAGTTCCAACACGTCGGTATATCGCGTACTCTTTAGGAGCACCTACCGTATGCTGAGAAGAGTCAATGAAAGACCACGAGTTGCCGTTTGAAGCTGTTGTCTATCTGGCGTTATGTTCCAAGATATTTTGAGTTCAATGAGAGATCGAGGCGAGAACAGTGAAGATTACGGATGACTTGTACCAGTGGATAGACTAAGAAAGCTCACTGGACGAAACGCAGAAGGCATCAAGGACCGTCGAACACCAGTCCATACCTAGACGCATCCAGGAGGTCAGTAAAGATGTTGGTCCTTTTTAGATAACTACTGGTCCATCCAACAATAATTCAAGGGAAAGCGAAAGACCTCCGAGGCGTTGAGATATAGAATAACAAAAATGGGTACACGAAAATGCTTAGTGTCCCGGGAGGGAGTCGAGCCCTCGGCTTCTCGGAGCGAATAGCAGATATTATCTTCACCACAACGAGATGATTTGACCACTAATCGACCAGGACGTGGTCGTTAATGCGAATCATCAAGGCAAGCCGGCGTAAACGTAACGGAGGCGATTACTGAGCCGAGAAACAGGTGAAAGACGGTGATGAAGGCAGGTATGTGGAGTTTACTTGATAAAATGTTTTTCGTAGGTTGAATTGTACGCTGTAGACGTGGTTGACGATGGGGTGTTATAGATCTGTCGCAGATGGAAGACGGTGAGTCATGGATGGGCAACGAGGAAACCCGTGGATGTCACAGTCACCTGTGGATCAGGGATAGAGCTGGATGATAGTTGCGGTGTAAATTTGTGATTAAGTTTAGTTTCGCAGTAATTCAAGACGAGTAAATGCTATAGAATGGGGTAAAGTAAAAATTGCACAATGCGCGATCATGTCCCGGGAGGGAGTCGAGCCCTCGGCTTCTCGGAGCAGCATACAATAATGCCCGCGCAACCACAACGAGATGATTTAACCACTAATCGACCAGGACGTGTCGTTAGCGAAAAATGATCCACCCATAGCCTAGACCATGCCAAATAAGGCAACGAGAGCGCCAAGGTACCCTGCGCTCCACGTGTGCCACTGACGTTATCTCTCCACATGGTTCCATTTTTGTTTGACGTACGGCTTGTCACTGCCCCCTTGTTCGTCGTTGTCGTCGTCACTCTTTCCCTTTTCCCTTTCTCCCTTTTCCTTTATACCCCCTTCAACCTATCCAGATACCCCCAACGGATGGCCTCATTCAACAACAACAGCAACTCTACAAAATCATTCCTAACATCTCTAATAACCAACGCCTCTCTACTCGCAATCGAAGTATCCGCATTCATCATCCTCAAACAACGTCTAGGCCGGATCTACTCCCCTCGTACCTTTCTTCCTCCACCAGATAAACGCGCTACACCGTTATCGGGTAGTTGGTGGAAATGGCTTCCACAAACGATACTCACGCCGAGTAAAGATGTTATACACAAGAACGGTCTCGACGCGTACATGTTCTTGAGGTTTATGAGGGTGTTGGCCAAGGTGTTTGCGGTGTACACCCTGGTGACGTTTTTGGTGATTGTGCCTGTTGATACGGTTGGATTGGAGACTACAACTGGGAATGTTATTGAGAGGATTAGTTGGATAAAGTGCGCTCCCTTCCTTACTCGGTTCAAGTTTACTAACTACTCTTGCAGTATAACAGGCAACCCACCAGAGAAAACACAGCCCCGGTTCGCAGCGCACGTTGTAGTCGTTTACCTTCTTACCTGTACGTCCCCATACACCTTCCTATACACACGCTAACACGCTCAACCAGTCTACGTATTCCACACAATTCGCTCCGAAATGTCCTCCTTCGTCCGTCTACGACACGAATACCTCCTAACACCACCACACTCCACTCTCGCGCAAGCACGTACAGTCCTCATAACCAGCGTTCCACATGAACTGGGCACCGAGAAGGCTGTTAGAGTATTCGGTAGTTTCGTTCCAGGTGCGTTCTCCCCTTCCTTCCCTTTACCTCTTACTAATACGAAACTACGGACAGGCGGCATCGACCGCGTATGGATATACCGCGACACACGAACCCTAAACACCCTCTTCGAGCGCCGCGAAGAAGCCTGCTCTCTCCTCGAAAAAGCTATCACTGACCTCCTCAAATCCGCCGTACAGGCCTACCGCAAAAAGCAGAAAAAACTCAAAGGCGATTTGGAGCGCATGTCTATCCACCAAGGCGGGTTGGAGCTCCTCGACGAGTTGGTTCCCCAGGCGAAGAGACCGAAACACCGTCCGGGGTTTTTAGGTCGGTTTGGGGCTAAAGTGGATACGATTGAGTGGTGTGCAGAAGAGGTGGGCAAGTTGAATGAGGAGATTGATGTTGCGAGGAGGGGTGTTAGGCAAGGGGAGTCGAAGTTCCTGGGTGAGTTTTATGGTATATTTCCCTGGGATATGTACTGAATACGTCGGCAGGGAGTATATTCATCCGAACCACACTCCCCATCGGCGCACATATCCTAGCGCAGTGCGTTAGCTGGCACGAACCGTTGAAGATGGTGGATAAATGGATGGAGGTCAACTCGAAAGGTACTCACCCCCTTCCTTTCACTTTAAACCCCCATCCTAACGCCCCCACAGACATCGTATGGCCAAACCTAGACGACAACGCCCTCGAAATGCGCGGTCGAGCTCTCACCTCATGGGTTCTCAACATCGGTCTAATCATCGGACTCAGTTTCCCGGTGATCTTTATTGGGACGATGAGTAATGTTGATGATTTGTGTGATCAGGTCAAGTGAGTGGCGTTCTTTTTGAGTTTTCATTGTTAGCTGACGATCCAAATAGACAACTCCGCTGGGTATGCGAAGCACCTTCCCCAATACCCGGCCTCGTACAGGGTGTGTTACCCCCGGTGTTGTTGGCGGCGTTGTTCGCTGTGTTGCCGTACATTCTCCGGGGTGCGCCTCCTTCCTTCCTGTTTTCTTTCGTTGGGCTGACGGGGTAACGGGGATAGGTCTGGCGTGGTACGAAAACATCCCTCGATACTCCCTAATCTCAACATCGGTGTATCATCGATTTTATTTGTTTTTGTTGATGTGCGTTTCCTTTCCCTTCTTTCTCCCCTTCACCCCTTCCTTTACCTAACCGAACACACGCAGACACGGTTTCCTAATAGTAACCCTAACATCCGGAATCACAAAAGCAATAGAAGATATCATTCGTCGGCCTACAGATACCGTACAGAGTCTGGCTAGACAGCTTCCGGGTGCTAGTGTTTTCTTTTTGACGTATATCAGTGCGTACCCCCTTCCCCTCTTCCCTTATACCCCCAAGGCTAACACGAGGGGTTGAACAGTCACACAAGGTCTAGCCGGAGCCGGAATCGCACTCGCGCAGTTAATCCCGATGATAATACATTTCATCAAGAAGTGGTTTTTGGGAAGGACGCCTAGACAGGCGTATGGCGTGCGTTCTCCATCCTTTTCCCATCTCCCATCTCCCTTCTACCCTTACACGAAAGCAACAAAGCTAATGTGGTTGATAGGTAACATTCATGATGCCCGCTGCCGAATTCGACGTCATACTCCCCCGGATGTCTCTCCTCGCGACTATTGGGTTCGCGTATAGCGTGTTGAATCCGTTGATTAACCCGTTGGCGTGTGTTTGTACGTCTCCCCTCTCCCCTTCTCCCTTTGTCATGCTAACGAAGGGTGGTAGCGTTCGGAATGTTTTACATCGCCTACAAACTCCTCTTCGTTCAGGTTATGGATCAACCAGACGCAGCTGAGACAGCTGGGTTGTATTTCCCGATGGCTGTTTCTAATTTATGTGCGTTCCTTTCCCTCTTCCTTACCCCTCGTCCTCCTTCACCTTCCCAAGCACTAACGAACGCGAAAACAGTCGTCGGGTTATACATCCAACAGATCTGCCTAGCCGCACTCTTCTTCGCCCGCGCTTCACACCCTTCCGCTCGAGTTGCGGCGTTGGTTCAGGGAGCGTTGATGTTAGTCCTCACGGGGTGACGGTGTTGGTGCAGGTTTGGGTTAGGGGGGCGTTTGGTCGTACGTGTTCCTGTTTCCTATTGTGTTTGGGGAAAGGAAAAGCTGATGAGGAAATGGGGGCGGGGGTAGCGATTATCAAGTACTTGCCGATGTCACTTGCGACGAGGGATATTGCGAAGCGGGAGGAGGCGTTCCACCACCATCACCATCACAAGAAGGAAGAACCGGAAGAAGAGGCGGATTTGGACCTTTTCAGTAAACGTAATATCAAGAAACTCCGCCGGAGGATAAAGAAGATACCCAAGAAGATCGTTGAGAGTGTTAAATCCCCTACGAGTACCGCTGGATCGCCTGTTAGTCCGAATCCTAACGCGAAGTATGGGTCTGGGTCGAGGGATGATGTGGGCTTGTTGGGAAAGGATAAGGATATGTACGAGATGCAGGGTGTAGGAGGAAGCAGTGCACCGAGGAAGAGTGAAGCTACGGATACGGAATGGACGGATGAAGGTAAACCCGTCGAGGTGTTGCGTGAGGATACCGCGATGGGTACTCCCAGACCGCTGGGTGTCAGAAGAGAAACGTCGTATCACTCATTTAAATCCGAGAAATCCAACCACTCTCACCATTCTCACTCGAAACACTCGAAACACTCCCATTCAAGCTCCGACTCCGAAGACGCAGAAGACACCCGCACAGAAGAACAAGAAATCGACCCCCCAGACTCCCAAAGAGAAGACGACGACGACCCACACGCATTTGATCATCCGTCGACGTATAAGCCTCAGAGGTGGATTTGGGTGCCTAGGGATCAATTAGGTGTGTTTCTCCTTCCTTCCCTACCCCTTCATTTCCTCGTGTTGATGAAAGGACGCGAAAACAGGTCTAAGCCGCGCCCTAGTCCAATACCTCAAAGACAGAGGCGTGGAAGCTTCCGACGAAGGTGCGGATATGGATATGAAAGGTGTGGTTGAGGTGACGAGGGGGCCGCCGGATGAGGAGTGGGCTGGGGGACATGATTTATAGGTGGTGTAGTTAGTAGTAAGGTGTATATAGGTGTAGGATATAATGTGATGTGATTTACGGACTGTTGATCCGAGGATGGTGCGGTGGAGAGCAGGACACGTCCTGGTCGATTAGTGGTTAAATCATCTCGTTGTGGTGTAATTTGAAATGTAGATGCTCCGAGAAGCCGAGGGCTCGACTCCCTCCCGGGACAATTACTGTATGACATATGTTGTGTTTTTCCTTTTCTTGTTCTTTTGCCAACTCAAGTACATTTAGACGAACCGTAAAATATTAGCTTATTGGGGCGCGAAGATGATCACAGGAGCGGAGTTAACAAGTGGACGTGTAACCGCGTGAATATCATAATGACGCGTGCCTCGTGTAAAACACGAGTCAGATGTATTGACGACCAAAACATGTCGAGCGCGTTACTTTCAGGGATATCCAATTCAAACCCAAAGACTTGGTGAGTTAGTTTGGATCGATACTCGTGCAATTCGGACTAGGGAAATACCCAGTCAAATGTGTGGGCGTGTAATCTCAGGTTCTCTACCGGTTAACGCATCTTACCACTAGCACGATGACGATGCGCCCCTTGTTTCCACTCGGCACAAGTCGCAGTTGGCATTCCGTTCTAGTTATCCAAGCACTCTGAACGCACTTCCTTTAGCCAACGTGTACTCGGCGTGTCTAGTTGGAAACATGTGATCGCGTGAACGCCACGTATTCTCGCGAATAATGGATCAACATACCTTCGTGCCTTCTCTACCTGTAGTACATCGTTCACATCCTCCTGTAGCTTCATTGCGTTCCGAGACGTGGACTGAGCTCTGTGGTTACCCACTTCCTGACGGATGATATCTTATTCTCCGTTCTCAAGCAACTATTGTGTTGAGATCGGCGTGCATCGAGCTTTTTGAGGAATAAAGTTTGGGTATAACACCCGAATCCAACGACATCACCGGAATACCTTGATTGATTTATAGTGATTCGCATGGCTCATGATCCCGCTACGTACCCACGTTTTCGTTGGAACGACGTTCTGATATCCTTGTTCAGTTGGGGTTGGTACATTCGACGATCTCCGCGCAGCTGTGGAATTATAGCTGTTATTCCTTGCGCTTGGGGCTATGGCATCGAGACATTCATCAGGATGTGTACTTACTACTGATCTGGCTACATACCTTATATTCACTTCAACCCCGAAGACCTGGACCTATGCAGAGAATAAAAGTAGTGAGAAGTGGCGCAAAGCGGAGCATATAGGGTAATGCTTCATTGCACTTCACGGTTTGGGATGCGTGTTCTGTTCGAAACAGCCCAGTACTTGGGAGGAACAAGGGGAAACAGAATTCTGATTTTAAGACTCCCGCAGTAACAACAGCAATTTATCACTGAGTAAGGCCTCCGTATCAGCGCTCAGCGCTTATCATGGCAGCCTTGTGAACGCGTTACACAGTTCTATTTGGTATCGTGCTTGTGGCGTTATCATAGCACCCGTGCTGTAGCCTGTGGCTTGATTATCGCTTGCAGTGTTTGTGTAGAGACCAATGAATTCATCAACCCTTTTTGGAAACTCGTTCGGCCAAGTAGCCAGCTCCTTCGAGATACCTGAACTTGTATGCTCGGAAGCTGGGGTCATCAAGCAACTTCCTGTGCATCTCAACGATGGAATAATCTTGACGGAAGCCATACTTGGACTCGCTTGATATGTTCAAGCCATCTATATCGGGACGTCTCACTCTTGTACTTTTCCATAGTCAAGGTAAGCGCTGATGAACAGCTCCTTGAACTACAGACACTGCAGTTCTGCATTAATATGCTAGCTTGAGGTTACCAAATTCCGTCTTTGATATATTCATGGCTTACGACCGTCGGGATGAACGGCCACTCGATTACTTCCGTACGCTACAGCCTGCGGGTAAGTATATTGGTGAAATCAGATAGCTGTTGTAATAGGTGGGGACAACAGCCGAACCATGGTGCCATATAATCAGAGTTGCATGATCCTAGAGTAACCCTTCTCTTCTTCCCCGTGAGTTACCGCAGTGACACCGAATATCCTAGGCGTGTAATTATTGACGATATCGATCCGAGAGTCTAATACGTTGGTGATTGGACATTTGACGTAGGATCGTTCGACAATCCTGGCATACTCGGCCCTCCGTACAACCATACCCTTCACGGCACTAAGCAAAATGGTGCAAGTTTTCTTTTTGATTTTGAGGGTGCGTCAAATGCTTCGCCGTTGTTCTTCAGCCTAGTAGTACATAGAGCCCTGCGCGAGTTTATACAAGTCCGAGGAGCAAAGGGCAACCGAAAACTCCCCCAAGATCCTGCCGTGTATCCCTTCGACAATGTCACCCTTGCCAAGTGGTCCTGTCAAGTGAATGAAGACGATATCACCCTTTCGAGTCATTTCCGCGAGACAGACGATATCACCCATATTGCTCTGTGCGAGCAAGGAAGTTTATTCCGAAAAAAGTATACCCTCAATCTTACCGTTTTCATCGACAATTCCGATACACAGATGTTCTGGGTAGACGAGATCGAATATCAGCCTTTGCATGGTCTTAACCTTCAGAAGGAGATTTTGAAGATTGATTCAAGCGATCCGAGTGTCAGATATGATAACTGGAGTCAGGAGTGGTTGCAAGACGAAAATGGTATCATGCATAATGTGACTGCGTCGGCGGAAACAAGTGTGTTGTTTAGTTTCACAGGTATGGTTCCAGAAGTACAGTTGAGCAGTTGAACAATTTCTTATAATGAGTATCTCAGGAACCCAAGTCGCTTTGTACGGTGTAAATGATGGGTTCAAACACCGGGGGAATGGAAATGCTTCGTATCACATCAACGGTTCGAGGGAAACTCCATTCGAGACGCCCGAAAGGAGAGTAATGATTGAAGGGGCCAAGACATCGAGTTATTACAACCAACTCACCTTCGCTACGCAAAAACTCAAAGCCGGATCTCATGAAATGGCCATTACGTGTGGAAATAGCAGAGCTGTGTTTCCACAGCCGCTGTCTATCGATTACTTTTACGTTACATCAGGAGAAGATGCGGCGCAGTTGAATTATACTGGAAGTGGTGGAAGCAATACAGGCGACACTATCAAAGGAGAATCTGGAGACTCGAGAACCCCGACAGGTCCTATTATTGGTGGCGTGTTGGATGGCGTAGTCGGTCTTATTCTCCTCGTCGGGATCATTCTATTGGTCCTTGAACGGCAGCGTAAACGCAGACCTGGCCGTCCAGGATCAATCAATAACAAAGATATCTTCGATTCACCCGAGATATTCTTGTTTCCACTACCAATATCGAATCATGGCATAACATCGAAGCACCTCACGGTCTCTGAGTTCGGTGGAAGCCCTTCGTCTACAACATTCTACCGCTGGAGCAAGCGATGCGGTATCGAATCAGAATTGGAAGGATATGAAAACTGCTCAGCGAAACCAGTAGCTGCGAGTAGCAGAAGCAGTAATTGAGAGGCGGTATCAGGATAGCGGAATAAGGTATCCACAACTGCATACTGTCGTGGACATTCTGCCAAGTTACAGCGCCCAATGAGTGCAGATCACCAGGAATATACATCATGATCACGTTTATTGAATTCCCGCATGCCTACTTGTTCTTGTACCGTACTTTGGGACCCCGTGCATTCATCGAATGAACATTTCGCAGTATTCAACAACTACGTGGTTTAGGAATGCACTAAGAAATCATAATTCTACATAATCATAATCTATCCCATCCTAACCGCAAAGGGTCTTGTCTGGATCGACATGAACTATTCTACTAGCCTAATCCTCCGTTCAACCTAGGACTATACCGGGATTTTGGCCCTAACATGTTAAAAAGCTGATTACCTGGCGTGGGTTGTGGACTTTGTTGTTCTCTGGAATTGGCCTCGGTGCTGACAAGATTGTGGCAGGGCTACTCATTGTGGCCAACTCGTGGCTTTGTGGGATAATCTTTATGAGAGCGAGCCATTACTCAATATGTTCCTCCATCCAAGTGGCATTCGTTAAAGACAGGTTATATATCCTGGAAAAGAGCGTGATACCCTATATGCATTTCAATCCGCACTCCACGTTTATCAATCTCAGACCAGTCCATGAGCTCGTTCATATACTGACAGTCTGAGTAAACGGGCAATAAGATTCCGGTGATTGTAAGGGATGCGTGAATGTTGAGACGTAGGCGTAGGCGTTACACGCAGGATTTGACCTACGCCATGAGCCATATATTATTCTGTAACCCACACTTATGTCGGTAGTTCAATTCCGGTTTATTACTTTTATGTAATTTAATATATGTACCTTGTTTAATATCTGTTTCATTTATATTCTGCTCGAATCCCCGCCATTGGTTTTCTGAAGGTTTTCTACTATTGGTACAACAATTTGGGGTATGATTGACCAGAGTTGAAACTATCTTTCCTCCTTCGGAGCCTAATAAGGTCATTGACCACTGTACTCCTGGTAGGATGGTAAGTTCGTCGATTGCAAATTTGATCCGTGGAGACTGGCATTGCTTCCACCATATTCAGGTGGTTCCCTTTCCCGTAAGAGTCTTTCGTTCTCTTTTGTGAGCATGTCAATCCTGGCAATGAGTTCTCCAAAGTGGATGTCCGATGAGGAAACTGTTTGGCCGAGTGGAGGAGATATTGCTAGTATCTCCCCATTTGGCTGACCGACTTTTGGTGTGCCAACCAGCGTCCGAAGTGAATTTGGATGCGCCTCATTCTCCGACCGTGATGCTGACTGCGCTTCTTTAGGCATTCGCCGCTTTGATTCGAGTGTGCTGGGTGAGATATATGGCTCAACTCTGATCTGTCCTTCTGACCGTGTTAGTGGTTGGGAATAAGACCAAGGTCAAAGATTTTGACCCACCCCTCTCTGATACAGATCTCTTCCACAAGTGACGAAGCACAATAATCATAGCACATAGAACCACAATACCAGAAAGAACACCTCCAACGATTGCTCCAATGTGGTTCTGACGGGATTCCTGTTGTGTAATCAGTGGTGAATGAGATTAGGCTAAGGATAAAGGCACATTCACCTCTAAATGACCCTGTACAAACATTGGTTTTTGTGATAGTTGTGAAAAGGCAGGCTTATATGTGATATAATCAACTAGAAAGCATCCAGGAAAATTCAGCTCCGAGGTATCGACAGAAGTCACGTTGAGGAGAAGTGT